CATAACTGATAGATCTTATAGTTGATGGAATTTGATAAAAGGAGTGGTCTGGAACTGACCACCTTCACTTTGATGAATGTACTACATATTATTCTAGGGTTGACTAGACCAAACTTTGCTTTTGCAATTATGACTTTACCAACTTCACCTCTCCATCCCATTTATGCACTTCCGTATGCTTCCATCTTCATAAATTGCATGCTATCTAAGGTTTTTTTTATTCATCGTTATATTTCTTAAATAAGATTAAAGGGTAGAATTTTAATATCGTAAATGGAGTAAATTGAATTAGAAGGATCGTTCTCATGTCACTAATTAATAGTTTTTTTTTTGTTTTTTCACCTTAAGTACGGAAAGATTTTCTCAAAATCCAAATAAATTTTAGTAGATCTAGAAAAAAAAGTTTGGATTTTCTTTTACCTTCATATTCTTTTAAAAAAAATAACTATTGGGGCATGGCAATCTTTCAATATGATGGTCCCTATGTCATTTCGTACTCATCTATCGATCATATATCTAAATCGAAATTCAATCATCGTAAAAATATGGTCACTAGAAATCGAAAATAAGTTTTTTTTTTGCCATTTTGGGTTTTTTATATTTAGATTTTTTTCTAGGGTTTTAGTTTTTTTTTAATTTAAGGTTTTCTTATCCTCATAATTTGTGTATTATGTAGGGTTTTTGTTAGAATAAGTTAGGTTTAAATAGGAGAAATCAATTGGATTTTAGGGAGGGACAATCGAATTTGAATTTTAGTGGAAAATGGGGTTTGGTGACCATATTTTCAATAGATTAGGTTGTTAGGGTTGCATGATAGAGTCTCAATGTGAAAGGATGTCATAAGAGACAAACACATGATTTTTAATTAGGGGTCGAATTTATAAAATTTTAAAATTAAACGAATTTATAAAATTTTTGGGACGAAAATAGATTACTAATAAAAAATATATATATATATCTAAATTATATGAGAATTTAATTTTTTTAAGGAGGTGACTACCTTCACTCGTTCCCTTTAAGTCCTTCCCTCAATGCTATCAAACATGGGAGATCGGGTTTTAACCTGATTTGGGTAAATTTTGGTTTTGGTTCGAATAGTGGATTATTGGTAAACATATTCGTCGATAATAAAAATCATGAGAAAATTACAAGAGTTGTACGGAAAATGACATTCTCTAGTCTATGCAAAATTAGACAAGGGCCACTTGCCTAGGGATCATACATGAATCTGAAACATATATTCATGGTCATTTCTTACACATGCTTGCGTAGGATGAATAAAAAAAAAGAGTAAGTTTTGTGGGCAATGAATTCAAGATGTTACTTTAATGGCTTACAACAATGGTTTGGACGGCTCTAGAGCAAAGCCTTCACGGTCACATAGTCCTCAACAGGTCGGTGCACCTCTCATATCAACAAAATTTCTCCCTCGAAAGCTTACTATGATGTTGTAACGTACAATCGTTATTGTCTTTGTTTATTCAACGTTAAGATCTTTAAAATCTGTTAAAGTTTTTTAAATTTTGTACCTTTAGAGATTTTCAAAATATTCAAAATTTCATGCTCTTCAGATAGTTACAACATTTGACATGACTTATAACAGGTTCACGTAATATATAATCTAATTTCTGACTTAAATATATTTAATATATCAACCTACAAATAATCATTATAATCTTAGGTCTGATACTAACACTCCAACACTATCAATCAATATATAAGTCATCACGTAAGGCTCATAAAAAGAACAAGATCTCTTTTCCTCCGCTCCCTCTCTATATCTCTTTCGATAATTGTTCATCGTCGTCTTCATTCCATCTGTTCTATCATTTCTCTCTACAAAATCATTGACTGTGATTTCCCACTTAAATTAAAAGAAATTGTCTAAAAAATCACAATCCCTCTTTCAAAGGCCACAAGTTTAGGGATTATATATGAAACCGACGCATAGAGATTGGCAAGGGAGGGGGATAAGTCCATATGGTCATCTCAATCACATATGCTTGTGTAGGAAGAATATGAAGAAAGTAGGCTTTTGTAGTTTTGTGTGTGGCAATAATGATAAAAAGTCGAGCCGTGTCGGGACGTGGGTTCAAGGGGCTCACAGCATTGGTTGGACGGCTGGCTCGAGAGTCCTACATAGGTCGGTGACTGGCTGCACCACCCCCAAGCCATATGGGTCCCCCTTTCATCTTCTCTGGGTTTCTTTTGTTTGTACCATAATTGTGTGTGTTTACACGAATCTTGTTTTAGATATCTGGAACACAGACTGGGGTTGGAGATGATTGTAATGAGTTGCAAATTGCAATGATTTTGGGGTGGAAATGGCGGACAAGTGGGAGCTGAGAACCGCCCAAAGGGTGCCAGCCACTAGTTGCAGACGTGCCTCAACATCATTCCCTTTGCTATGAAATGAGCCAAAGATCCTAACAAAAATCAAATGGATCATTCTACTTATAGAGGTGGCCCCTGTTATCTTATCTCCTCCTATAATTTCGTCATAATTATGTGGATATTTTCACTAAACGACCATATTACTACTCATTCTTGTGTTCACTGATCATAGCCTCTCACTTTCATTGTTTAACTAATACTTTTCTTTTGAACTTATGTAAGTTAAAAATGTAATATCTTATTAAAGAATAAAGTTAATCAATAGAGTTGGTTTAAATGGTAAGAAGTTTGATATCGTTTAAGTAAAATATCGAGTTCGAGTTCTTGTGTATGCCGAAAATTCTCATTAAAAGATTCACCCAACAAAACTAAGTGTGCGACACGGGTCGGTCTAAACGAATGAAGAGAATCTTTCCGGGTATACTTGCACACACTCCACCTTGTTGATTTTTGTTCTCTAACAAGATAATTCTTATTGAATTTTATTTTTAAATTCTTTTCATTCCTCTCAACGTCTCTTGTCCTTATTTTAAATTCAGAGACTCCCACTCTTATATTATTTTAAGAATAAATATTAAAATTATATATAATTCTTTAGTAAATTTATAATAAGAGATATAATTTTAATTTTATATAATTATATATAAAATTTTAATTTAATAATTTTTTTTATAAATTATTAATAATATTTATTAATATAACATCAATTTATATTTATGTAATGTATATATAAAAAAGTATATTATTTAATATAAAAATAAATAAATATTTAACTAACATATATATTATGTACTTCATCCATTTTTACAATAGAATATGATATGATCATACTACTATACTAGTAAGAAATTAGCATACAATATAATAACTTTTTAAAATTATACGTGGTAATATATAAATTTTAGGTATAATATAAAAAATGTGATATCATTTGACTAAATAATCATTTTAGTTTTTTTTTGTTTTGAGTATTTTAGTTCATAACGTTTCATTTTAAGGTTTTTTTTCTACGCCTACCTACTCTGCTTTTATTATTCTTTATTTATTTATTTTTATTTTTATAACATAATATAACTATTTTTTATGTTTATTACGTGAACGTATCAAGTAACTTAGTGATAAAAGGAAATATGATTCATTTTAGTGATTTTAAGTTTGAACAACTACGTACGCAGATTGTGTTTGTGTATGAGTATTATTAGTTAGTTAAGAAAATTTTAAACAAATACTACCTTATAATCTTCTTAGACTATTCAAAAAAAAAAAGACAAAGTGAATCAAGGAACTCGTTGAGATTATTGAAGGGGTGCTCTTTAGGATAAATAAATTTGATTTGATTAAAACATTATTATTTTTATATTTTTGTATTATTTGAGTCGAGTTATTCGAGTCAACATAAATTTTGTGTTCAAGTCATGTTTAAATTTTCAAAGTTTGAAAATCTTAAAAGTTAAAAATTAAAACGATGTTATTTTTGTCCTTCATAACTTTTGGTTCCTGATTTTTTTTTGGTTTTTTATTTTTTTAAGTATATTTTGATCAAATTTGAACTAAGCGTTTCTAAATCAATGTAGAATATCTATGTAGCTTCAATTTTTTTAATAACAGATTTATTCTTTTTTTTTCAAATTAGTCCCTTAACTTTATATAATTTTCTTATTCCTTCAATTCCTCATTTTAAGTCCGTTTTTCCAAATTTACGTGACATGTTTCTCTACCTCTATAGAATACTTATCTAACTTCATTTCCTATTTAAGAAATAAATTTTATTTTTTTAAATTTTAAAACCATCAACTTTGTATTTTATTCAATTTGATCATTCTATTGTAACACTTTTATAAATTTTTTTATTCTCATCAATTTATTGACTCTTTCATACTCCAAGTACATTCTTTAAGAAATGATATTATAAATATATTTTACAATTTTAGATAGTATTTGGTTTATTAAATAACATTACAAACCTTATTTACACATATAAATTTTATTATCCTAAAAAAAAGGTTACCAACAAACTTTCTGTTAAGTGACGATAATTAAGAGTCCCACATTTGTTAATTAAGAGTCCATTTAAAAGGACAGTAAAATTAGTTTTGATGAAATTAAAATAATGATGGCGATGAGATTAGTTATTATAACAGTGATATTAAAATCAATAATGGGATATATGTTATAATTTTTTTGAAAGACATATGTTATAATTAGTTAATAATAATGAGGATAAGATTAATTATAAGAGGAAGAAAATAACACTATGAGGGACATTATTTTAAAATCTATGAATCTGTATTAAAAATTTTAATGTAGTTAATATTTATGAAAATAATACTAAATTGAATGGTGGAAAGGAAGAAGGGTCCAACGGCACCGTATGGCCAAGCTGTCGTCTTTTTGACATGTCATTGTCTCATCTTAATCACCCTGTAGGCATATCCTTCCCATGTAGTGTAGACCCTGAAAGCTATGTACATCTTTTTAATTCTTTCCCTTTGAAAATTGTTCTCTCCCTCTCTCTCTTTACTTTTCTTCATTCTTCTTCTTCTCCTCTCATTCGAGGCCAATATCAAATAGCTCAAAGCTCATACATATATATATATATATATATATATGTTATGAGTTATGATAGTTTGATGGTTAATTAGTTTATGGCAATAGTAATACCGGAAGCAGCAATCATGAGCAACGACCCCAACGATAATAATAATAGCAATATCAACGTGGTGGACGACAGCAGCAACCACGACATGAGCATCAGCAGCAGCAGCAATGATGACCACGAGCACGACGTGGTCATGCCTGGTTTTCGGTTCCACCCTACCGAGGAAGAACTCGTGGAGTTCTACCTTCGCCGTAAGGTGGAGGACAAGCGTTTTAATGTCGAACTCATTACTTTCCTTGATCTTTATCGCTATGACCCCTGGGAGCTTCCTGGTAAAAAACTACAAAATTCTTTGTTTCCCTCTTCATTTCTTTCCTTCTTCTTCTCTCTATCACACACACATACACACACACACATACGTATGTATATATCTTTTGTTTGAATTCTTGTGCGGCACATCTCAGCCTTGGCAGCAATTGGGGAGAAAGAATGGTTCTTCTATGTGCCGAGAGACAGGAAGTACAGAAACGGGGATCGACCGAATCGTGTTACGACGTCCGGGTACTGGAAGGCAACCGGAGCAGACCGTATGATTCGAGGCGAGAAGTCTCGATCCATTGGTCTCAAGAAAACCCTAGTCTTCTACTCTGGTAAAGCTCCCAAGGGAATCCGATCCAGTTGGATTATGAACGAGTATCGCTTGCCTCACCACGAAACCGAACGCTACAAAAAGGTATATTCCACTTATAATTTGTTGCGCCATCTATTTGTTTACCTATAGACTTATATAAGAGCTAAGAGGGTGTAAGATCTTATGTTCAAGCAATTAAATATGTAAGATATGTTAGTTGTTAAGGACTAAAAAAGATTCTAAACATATATTATCTTATTATCGTACCAACTAAGTGTTCTTCCACCGAACCCTAATTTCTCTTTTGAAAAATTCATAATTGCAAGGTTTTCCTCAAATCTTGTTATTAATTGATTTCTTTACTGTATTTGCATGAACTTTGGATTCAATGACCAAAAAGAACCCTTACACTTACATTTATTCAATACTACTATTACTTCCAGTCACGAGTATCATAACTGTAACCGATGCTCAATGTCCACAAACATTTAATTGAGGCGTGGGAATTGCTTCTTCCTTCTCTTCACCAGCTCCGGTTTCGTTTTTCAGGCAGAAATATCACTTTGCCGGGTGTACAAGAGAGCCGGAGTGGAGGATCACCCGTCGCTACCCCGTTCTCTTCTCACCATGCGGCCGTCGGACTCGTCCAGAGGACAATTGTCGATGGAGAAGAGATATCCCCAAGAGGCAGCAGCTCAACAAGCCATGGAAAAAATAAGTGAAACCGAAGGAAGCAGTAGCACTAGTACTTCTGATGTTACAACAACTCTTGGACTTTCGAAACGGAACGTATACCGTCCGATGGATCCTCTTCCTATCAGCACAACATTAGGAATACCATCTGGAATGGAAGGTGAAGGAATGTTCTTAAACCAGTCAAAGCAAGGCTTCTGCTCTTTACTCCCCAATCCCACTACTCTCTTCCAGCCAGGCCCTTTTTCCGTTTCGCCAAACGTCGTAGTCGTCGACGATCTCCACCGGCTAGTAAGCTTCCAACAACATACATTGAACCAGCAGCAATACTACAATCCAAATCATCCCCATCTACATCTCCAGAATCATGAACAACAACAACAACAGCAACCGGAGTTCTCGACCTTGCCGCCACAATCACAGGCACAACAGCTTTCTCTGAACGTGCTACCAGCCACAGAACCTAGTCCGACGGCCTTTTTGGGCAGGCTTTGGGAGTGGAATCCGATCCCAGAAGCTAACAGGGAGTATAACAACCCTTTCAAGTAGGCGCCGCAGCTACATATTGATATAAACTATATGTACTGCTACTCATCTGTAGAGGTTGTTCGATTCCTTTAGAGTGATTATTTGTTGCTGCTGTTTAGCTATATGTAGTAGGGTGAGGCTGCAACCCAACTAAAGGAATACATTTTGTTTAACATGTTATATACAGTGTTAGAAGTGGAAGAAGAAACCATTATGTATTTCCCGAATCCAATTGCAACCAAAACAACATTTGAATATTGTATAAATCTACATTTTCAATTGTGTTGTGTTTATGATGATTACATACATAATATATACCATTTTAGGTGTAAAAATTTTAAGTTTTAACTAATATAATAAGATTATTTTATATAAATGTTGATGATATGACTATACGATATTAATGAAAGCATGTTTAGTTTACTTACATATAAGATAAAAAAGTATGATATATGTAGTGATTGTTGATACATTTATAAAATTTAAAACATGTTAGCGTTGCTAATTCGAATGTATAAATATGTTTAATTTTTTATTTTGCCTATACGTTACAAGTACGAATTATGTATAATACACGATAGGTTGATAGTGTTATCAAATGATATTTGAGCTAAATGGCATATTGTTTCAAATACTCTCGACGTTAACCCATCAAGTAATCTCAACGGTTGAATGGCATGTTGTTTTCTTTAGAGGTTCTGAATTAGAACAATTATGTTTGTGAGGAGTGTATGCGTTGTCAATAGTTAAAAGAATATTATAAACAACTACTATCTCGTAATTACTTCAAACTATTTAAAAAATCCTCTCGACATAAAAGTATGTTTAGTTACTTATATAATATGATTAAAATATGAATTATATACTATAGTAATTATATATATATATATATTTAACATGTTTAATTGAGGGAGAGAATAATTAGTGAATAATTAGGTAGGTGTATGGGGCATAAGTACATTTTAGAGTGGAACAGCTCGCCCCCTCTAATTTTTAGAACCAAGTAGAGTGGTCCATGTACATAACTCTTTGAATTTCAAATATTAATTACTCTTGTTCAGATCAAATTCACCATTTATTGTGATTTGTTACAATATTATTCAGTCTAATTGAAATCGACTTTGACACGTCAAATGTAGTTTCTTATGTATAATTATTCAATTGAATGAAAATTTTAAATTAGATCGTACTACTTTAAAACTCAATTAAGTTTTGTATATTTTTGTCAAATTTTATAATTCTTTTAACATTTTTAATGGATTTAAATGTATTTCTAATATTTTATCATTTTTAATTTTTTTATGCGAAAGTACAAAATAAGTAATATTAATATTGATAAAAGTATAAAATAGTTGGCGCCAACTTAACAAGTTTGATGCTTTTTCTTTCAGCTGCTTCAATTTGATAGAATATTTGAATTTTAAAAGTTAAAAAAAATATTTTTTTTAAGAAAAGTTTGAGTCCAAAAATGTCATTAGGCCTTTTCCTTTCGATAATTTATATTTAATATCCATGAAATGCTTCAAAAATTATAAGAAGAAGAAGAATCCATAAACCAAGAGTAATTACTAATTAGTAATGGATTAAAAAGGAAGGTACCTAATTATCTCAATGACAAAGTTGTAAGTTATGCACGAATTAAGTGATCTCGGTGATAAAAGAATTGTTGTTATTATTTGAGGTTCTGAGTTCGAGCCATATGAACGTCAAGAGTATGAACGTTCAATATCAAATGGTTAAGAGTTATCTTTAAACAGATATAATCGTAGTTACTTCAAATATAACATAATCATATCAACTCGACTATTTTTTTCAAGTACTATGATTATATGAATTCAACTACTTCAAATATAACATAATATGTGTCTATTAATCCACTTCTGGACTACATAATCCTTATTCATTGGTCACACCCTGGAAAGAACTTGTTCAAGATTCCCAGCCGCCAAACAGATGGAGCATTCAGCAGTAGTTGAATTCCCCATCAATTTACCATCTTAACAAAATGCCCTATGCCAGAGGAGCATCCGGCTGATTCTCCGGCATGGCCTTTCGGAATTCCGAAAGCTCACTATAAGCCCCATTCAACCGAGTTAAAAGCGGGAATTTAGCCTACAAGATAATAGGAAAAGAGAATTCATGTCAGCAAAGTTAACAAACATCAGTTAGGTGCACGAACTAGTAGTTCATGGAATAAGTAGATTACCATGTCAACATTGAACCGTTTAGTCCCATAATGAAGTTGTGGTGCTAGAAACACATCTGCCTGCAAAGAAAGTTCACAGGTCTTATTCTACGGTACATTACGAGCGAGCAGTTTCAATCGGAACTCGAGTCACAAACTCTGAACATAAAGTTGCAAATTTATACATGAGAGAATGGAACAAACCATGGAAACTTCGTCTCCGGTCGCATATCTTCCGGCACGATCTTTCAACAGCTTCTCAAGCGCTGAAACCAAGAAGCATTAATCCATTAGAGGAAGCAATAACACTCATGACACTTAATCTTAGGAGGAGGAGGCCTTATAACTTACCTTCAAAGCCTTTCTCAATATGGAATTTTGCCCAAGGAATTCTCTCATCTGGACCTACTTTTGCCTCAATGTACTTCTGTAAAGGTAAAAGCAGCAAATCAAATGCAATCCCTTGTATATTTCAACAATACTCAAAACGAGTATCTGCTCGTTTTTGGGCGAATTCACTCGGATACTAACCAGCACAGTTGCATTCTGAAGAGGCTGAATGCTTGAGCAAACAATATTTGCAGCCTGTGGAACAATGTGTGAGAACTCATTAGTCATTAGCCTAGTAAAACATGAATAATTAATCATACAAAGGAGAGCAGAGACCTGTATATTGAGTGCCTTCTTTGCAATATCAGATGGAAACAAGGGGATTTGAGGGTATTTCTCCTCCAGATACTATTGGTTTAATTCCACATTCATTAAAAACAAACAAATCAAGCTAAGTAATGAATACAATAGCATTGACTGAACAGAATAAACAGAAAACTGACCATGAAAATAGCAAAAGAGTCCGAAATGACAACGTCGCCGTCCACCAGCACCGGTACATATCCAATGGGATTCAGCTTTTGGAACTCTAACCATTTTCCACAGTTTCAACAATGTTTCAATTACAGTACTTAATGGAATAGAATCAAAATAGTAAGCGTTGAACCAGAAAAGGAAAATTTATAACCAGGACTGAATTGTTCCCCCTTAAGCAAGTTAACAGGTATGTACTGGTATTCCAGAGCTGCCAAATCCAGAAACCAAAAGTGATTACTAATCAGTAATAGATTGAAAAAGGATAGGAAAAAAACAATAAAGAAGAAGGTACATTTGAGGTTGAGGGCCATTCTGATGCGGCAGGAGCAGGAGCTCCTCCAGTAAGAATACAGCTTCAGTTTGTTCTGCTGCTGTGCCTGTTCATGTTCATGTTGATGCACCATTTTGATAGTTTAATTAATCCATAACCAGTACCATGATAGCAAATGAATAAAAGTAGATGAACAGAGAAGATCTCACCATATTGCCTGTTGCTACTAACGAATTCAAAAGTCAACGATCTCTTCCAGGGATCTTGTTTTTCTCCATTACAAGGTGACATGTTATATGTGATGGAATTCTTAGTTATTTAATGGGTAAACTACACGTTTAGTATCCTAACTAACACTTCTATTCCATTTTGATCATCCAACTTTTTTTTGTTTCAAAACCATACCTAATGTTTAGTTTTGGTTTCATTTTGGTCACTCATCATTAAAAAATCAACGTGTCACCGTATGATAATGCCATGTCATCATTGAAAAAATGACATGCTAGTAGTTCTGTTAATTTTTTAATGGTGAATGACCAAAAGGAAACCAAAACTAAATATTAGGTATGCTTTTGAAATAAAAATAGTTGTGTGACCAAAATAGAATAAAGTGATAGTGGGCTACACAACGTATAATTTACCCTATTTAAATTGATGATAAGATTAGGTGGCCTAAGTGATAAAGAAGAATGTTTTCCTTAAAAGATCCAAGTTTGAACAACCATGTCGGTATGAGATATGCACATTGTCAATAATTAAGAAAAGAAATTATAAATAGGTATTATCTTATAATTATTATTTACTATTAAAAAATGTTTGAGAATGGACATTTGAATTCAAGCTAGTAGTTTATTCTTTTCAACAAGGGATAACTCACATCTTAGTCCTTAAAGTTGTTCACTTTTTCCATATTGGTACCCAAACTTTTTTTTTGTCCACGGTACTTGGACTGGTCTACTTTTCCCACTTTATCATCTAAACCTTTTTAGTCCACGCTGATACGTGAACTTGTTTACTTTTCCCACATTGATACTTTTTTACAACGATTTTAATTTCTATAACTTCACATTTTAATAATTTTTTGGTGATGTTAAATTGTTACAAAAAAGAACAGGCATGAGAGAAGAGTTTAGGTAGCAACATGGACTCAAAAAAGTTTAGATATTAATATGGAAAAAAAATAGACAATACCAATGTGAATTAAATCAAAAGTTAAATACCAATATAGAAAAAATGGACAAATTAAGTAGCTAAGATGTAACTATCCCTTTCAAAATAATAACGCATAAAATATACCAATGGAGGCTTTGTTTAGTTATTATTATAATGGGCCATGCTCATCACATTGCTAATATCCTATATTTGTGAATGGTTGGTAACTCAACCTCGGTTTATAATTAATTATTGGGTAAATTACACCCATGACCACTTAACTATAAGAGATTATAATCTGATTGTTGATCTTTTAATTTTATCAATGAGATCACTTGATTATTTAAATGATGTTAATCAATTCATTTGTTGTTAACATTTGAAATAGAAAATGGCATGATAGTTAATAAATTTGATATAATTACACATTTGATCCTCATTATTTATATATTCTATCAATTTGATCCTAATTTTAACTAATTTCAATAGATGTATTCCTCCAAGATGGTGGCACATGACACTTAGTAAAATATGTCACCATCTGGTTAGATGATTTTTTTACTTATTTTTATTTTTTTAATTCAATAAATTAAATGTTACGGTCAGTTCCTCCATTGAATGTTAATAACAGGTGACTTGATTTATATTATTTAAATAGTTAAGTGATCTTATTGATAAAATTAAAAGATCGGTGATTATGTTGGAATCTTCTTATAATTAAATGATCATGGGTACAGTTTACCCTTAATTATTGCTTACATACTCCAACCCCTTTCATTGACCGATTATATTTAATTAAATTAATTAGGTACAGAAAGTTTGCATTTGATTATTTAATTAGTTTGCTAACGGTACAGATGATTCAATGAGGTCTCAAGTTTATGAAATCTTCTAATGTGATCCTTATACTTTAAAACTACTTGTGAATTGTGTATTATTGGTGGAATTGACTTAATAATGTTGATTGTAGATGATAAATGATAATTAACACTTACCAAAGAACGGGTGTATTTTCTAATAATATTAGTGAATGAATCGTCTTATAATTTATATTACAAAACTACAAGATTAATGAAAAGGGAAAATACAAAATGTTTTTTTTTATCAATTATGTAACAAGTAGTTGGTTTGGTGTAGTGGTTAAGCCTTACACATCCTGAAAGGGGATTCTGATCCAGTCTCCATAATTTGCGTTTCATATTTTTACGTAATTTTATTAACAATGAGATACTAACACGTGTTATCATCTTATTCGGAAAAAATAATAATTTATTAAAAATAATATATGGACATATTGACTCGGTTACCATTAAGAAATTAAATTGCAAAATGTTTTTTATTAAAAATATGAAATAAAGTTATGTAAATTTTCTACAAAATTAGAGAAACGAGTGGTTTCAATTTAATCAAAATAAATTTCAAATGAAGAATTAAAAAATTATAAATATATGAATATGTCAAAATTTACCTAAAATAAATTGTAAACATCCCCGAAAAATAAATAAATATGATATTTTAAATACAATTTTAACACAAAATATGTCGAACATAAATAAATAAATAATGTAGTGTTTTAAATATAATTATAACACAAAAAGACAACACGTTATAAATACACTAATATAAAAAAAATTACTTACACTAAAATTAGCTGAACGACACGGGTCTATTAATATAGCCATCTATTTCAAATTTGAGGGGAAAATTAAAATATAAATAGCATGATTAATTTGTTAGTTTCTTTGAATCCTGCATAATCAAACCCTAACTTTTAGGAAGAAATTTCATTCTTTTGCTCCTTCAAATTGAACCCAATGTCCCAGGAACACATTTTTTTTTCCACAAAACCATTTTTATTTTATGGCTTGTAATTGCATATATCTCATACAAAGGTTAACTGATATTTCTACAAACAAATATATGATCAGAGAAGGACGTAGGATTTTGTGTTATAGGAGACGAACTTATAAATTTTAGAACGAAAATAGATTATCAATACAAAATAAAAAAAAATTAAAATATAAGAGAATTTTTAAAAAATTTAGGGGCGACCACCCTCACCCGCTCACCCTCGGTCAATCCCTGAATATGACTATGGCATGGAGAATGAAACCACCAAATATAGTTCAGATCAACATGCCATATATGTTTATGATATGTCCATATTACATGATATATGATACTATTGCGTCTTACATTAACTTCAGACTAACATAATCCTTATTATCATTGATCATTCCCTAGAACGAACAACAAAGATGGACCATTCGGCATTAGATGTGTACCTCATCAATCCACCAGGCACCAACGCCCTATGCCAGAGGAGCATCCGGCTGATTCTCCGGCATAGCCTTTTGGAATTCCGGTAGCTCACTATATGCCTCATTCAACCGAGTTAAAAGCGGGAATTTAGTCTACAAAATAATAAGAAAAGAGAAGCCGTGTTAGCCAAGAATACATGTCTGTAAGTATGGAAACTTTAGCTGAAATGAAGAAACGCAAATTAGATGCAGAAACAAGAAGTTCATGAATGAGCGGATTACCATGTCGACATTGAATCGGTTTATCCCAGCATGAATCTGTGGTGCTAGGAATGCATCCGCCTGCAAACAGAGTCGACAGGCCATATTTATGTGTATATGTATATTTTCAGAACATTTCTAACCTGAGTATATAATTTCATTTATTTCTTATTCTAATGTACATTAGGAGTCAACTTCTAAAGAGCATCACAACAAGTAACAGAAGGTGATATTAGCAAACGTCAAACAGAGTTTACATCTATGATTATCTCATGCGCATCTCAATATCCTAAGGCAATATTAGCAAACTTTTAACAAAATTTAGACCTACGGTTAACTCATTTGCATCTCAAAATTCAAAGGCATATATATTTTCCACATCAGCATGAAACTACAACAGTTTTTACCGAAACTATCAATCAAACCAAATTCATTCAAAGTGATATCCGAAATCCTTTCATCCACATCCTGCAACAAATATATAAGCCTTCCAAAAACACTGAAACATATGCACTTTTGTGCATGATTTGCCACGTGCTTTGAGCATGAAGTTGCGTATATAAACATGACAAAATGAAACAAACCATGGCAACTTCATCTCCGATCGCATATTTTCCAGCATGATCTTTTAACAGCTTCTCAAGAGCTGAAACAAAGAAGCATTAATCAAATCAAATGCTAAATCCATTAGAGGAAACAATAAACCCTCATGGCACTTGATCTTAGTAGAATAGTTATATGTATAATGCCTTTACTCATCCCTTACCTCCGAAGCCTTTCTCGATATGAAATTTTGCCCAAAGAATTTTCTCATCCGTACTTACTTTTTCCTCAATGTACTTCTGCAAAAGTAAAAGCAGCAAATCAAACGCAATCCATATACTTTCAATGATCCCATAAAAAACGAAGGCATAAAAGACGCAAATTCACTCGGAAACAAACCAGCACAGCTAGATTCTGAAGAGGCTGAATGCTCGAGCAAACGATATTTGCGGCCTATAAAACGATGTGCAAGTACTCATTAGTGTAGCCTAACTTAGTGACAAGAAACATAAACAAAAACGAAATGAAGGACAGCAGAGACCTGGATATTGAGTGCCTTCTTATAAAGATCAGATGGCAATAAGGGGATTTGAGGGTATTTCTCCTCCAGATACTGTTGGTTTAATTCCAAATTCATTAAAAGCAAATCAAGCAAAGTAATGAATACAATAGAATAGAATTGAATGAAAAGAAGGGGAAACAGAAAAAATGACCATGAAAATTGCAGAAGAGTCTGAAATGACAACGTCACCGTCCACCAGCACCGGTACATATCCAATAGGATTCAGCTTTTGGAATTCTACCCATTTCCCAAGTTTCAACAATGTTTTAAATTCCAATGATTAATGAATTAGAAACAAATTAATAAACCCAGAAAATTTTTAAAAAAATTCTGACCGGGGCTGAACTGCTCCCCCTTAAGCAAGTTAACCGGTATGTACTGATAATCCAGACCTGCCAAAAAAACCCAGAAACCAAAAGAAATTACTAATTACTAATTACTAATAGATTAAAAAGGATTAAAAACCCCCAGAAGAAGAAAGGGAAAACGGAAAGGTACCTTTGAGGTTAAGGGCGATTCTGATGCGGAAGGAGCAGGAGCTCCTCCAGTAAGAATAGAGCTTGAGTTTGTTCTGCTGTTGTGCCTGTTAATGTTCACGTTCATGCACCATTCTTATTGTTAATTCATAATCAGTATCTTTGAACTAATGGAACAGAGATAGATGAACAGAGAAGATTGTACCATAATATCAAGTTGATTCTGGCGAATTAGGAAGTCGGTGTTCAATGCTTTTTTTCTCTTTTACCATCTTCATCTCGTCTTGTCTTTTTTCTCCGGACGTGTCATTATATAATTAAATATATAAAATTAAATTTAAAATTTAGCATTTTTCTATTGACAATAACATTAATATCATTGTAAAGTGGTACTATCACATTAGTATAATGTAAATTTCAACCCATCAAATGTAAAATATGTATAAAATATTTTTTAATATAATATTTAATTACCTAATTTTTATGATGTCAATGTCACATCTTGTGTTGTATAACAAAATAAATTAATATTTTTTTGTTAATATTTATAAACAAAAAAGGCTTCATCTTTGACCTTTTCTTCTTTCCTCATTCTGAAGATCACAAACTAAAGTTCCTAGAAAAAAATCCATAATAAAAAATTGGTAGAGCACACATCAGTTGCACGAAGGTGAGCATGGAATCGTTTGGTTCAGGCTCATCGGCGATCATTTCCTACAGAATTGTCTTTCTTTTAAGGCATTATTGTTGCATTTCCTATGAAATTGTCTCTGCAAAGCGATTCTAGCATATTCATTCTGGAATTTCTGCTTTCAGAAATTTGTGTGAACTAATTGCTGGGAATTTTGATATTGAGGCCATGACCATGTTTTTCTAAAGATTTTTCATTAGTTTTTCAAATTCTATGAGAAGTTGATTCATAAGTACACATGCCTCCATAAAATGAAGCAAATTCTTGAGGTTTCATCAAAGCCTTCTTCTAAAATACATAAATTTAAATTTTCACTCAGCCAAGCATCATTGTTGCCTTTTGAGTAAAAAAGGATTTAAGCAACCGCCAGCCTCTTTCTATATACAACCTTAACAATTCTTTGATTTAATTGCATATTTTACTTATTGCAGAAATACCACATTCATGCATCATCCCTGCCCCTTCTGCATTGTCGAAATGGCTTTATGAAGAATGCCGAAACCGGAGTCTTCGGAACTGGAATCAGCTTCCCCACAATCGCAAGAGGCCAGCTTCAAAAATATAATAGCAGTCAATGAATAATTACTCTTTGTGTTTGATGACATCAACGATCTAAGAAGATTATTTGAGGCCAAGAGTGACAAGAGCGAGCGACCCTACCTGATAATGCCAATTCCAACGGATACAAGCCACATCTGCCAATCGAGTCTTACTGTTGAGGTAAATTTTCCAAGGAACTCGATGATGATTATCTATGAAATAGTTGGAAATAGTATTATGAGTAGACCAGGTACAAATGATGACCACAAAGAAAGCTGAATAGTGGTGCACTGAGAAAATGAAAAAGATGAGATTTGTTCACCTGAAGTATGAGAGTAAATCCAACAATTCCCATAAATAGGTAGTTTTTAGTCACTCCTTTGAAGCAATTGATTTCTTCAGGCTTTCTAGCATTAAACTCATTGAATATCTGTGATTTGAACGAACAGTTGTCAAACTTTAAGCTTTACGATAAATGTAAAAAATAAACCCCAGAATCTCAACTTGCCACCAAGTACTTACTTGACACATGACAAAAGCATTGAATATCAAAGAATTCTTCACTTCATGAGCATGAGCCTTGTCACCATCATCCTCCAAACCAAGAATGGTCAAGCCTGAAAAGTTGAGCACAAGGAGGACAGTAACTTGATATAAAGCCTGAAATGAAATGTGAAAACATTATAAGACAGAGAGCCATTGTACTATTTTCCCAGACATTGGTCTGGGTTAACAATTCTCAATCAAATAAAATTGCAAAACACAAACTAAGACAAGTAAAATGTTAACAGGTGAAAATCATATGATGAGGACAGAAGAAAACAGATACCTGTATGAGTAAGTTCCTCCACATGATGTTGGTAATTAGAGGTTCTCTGGGAAAATAAAACATTTAGATCAATACAACAAGTCAATTAAATATCAACTTTATAAGGTACATTCAGCCATTTCTAATAATCAAATACCAAATCTGTGGTTGCACACGTGATATTTAATTCAAACCTATGAATTCATCAGCCATTTCTAATAATTAATACGTAGAACTAGAGTACTACGAGTCAAAGTACACAGTATTCACATGAAAGAAGGATTCAGACCTTCGGCCAACGGGGGACCTATGCATAAGGTTGTCTGTTGGAGGCTCAGTGGCCAAAGCAAGTGCTCCAAGAGTATCCATGATCAGGTTAACCCATAGTAACTGTAGCAAAAGAACTCGCATTCAATTTTTTGTCATCATGAAGTGATGTTCTAATGTACATAGCTACTTAGTTTGATTACAGAGTAACTTATCCCAACAGCTTTCTCCTTTCTCTACACCAACAGAAACCTCAGTTTTGAAGTCTATTCTACTCTCAAACACACTAGTTTTTAAGTTCAATCACCACACAGAGAGATAAAAAAACATTATCATTGAACAGTTCCTTAATTCATGGCCCAGCACCCCGAAACCAAAATCCAGAAAATTACATAAAACTGAATTCTAATCCGGTGACATTTCCTCTCGTCAGAAATTCGATATGAGACCTAGGGGCATAGGAGAGTAGAGAAGAGCAGTACCTGCACTGAATTTAAAGGAACATCACCGGAGGATACTGCTGCCACAACATTGATTACAAGAGCTGCAACATTCACAGTAAGCTGGAATTGTATAAACTTCTGAATATTGGCATAAACTGAACGACCCCAGCGAACAACCTACATTAAGGATACAAAGATGAGGTACAATTGCTGGAAATTTCATACCAGACTTACCTCAAATTCAGCAGTAGGATATAGTGAAAATGGAAACAATAATATCCATGTGAAAGAAACAAGCATGCTAACCTTCACAACTGAAGCAAAATTATCATCCAATATAATTATATCTGAACTTTCTTTTGCGACTTCTGTCCCTTGAATGCCCATAGATAGACCTATATCTGCCTAAAATACAGAAAAAATAAAAATAAAATCAAAAGTATAAAATGCAAAAACTGGGAAGATAAGCAAATTAAGCTATGGAACACATGTAGTCATCAATCAGCACAAGAGGCAGTGTATGGGTTCATTAGATTTAAGAATAAAGTTGCTTGAATGGAAGGTAAATGGTTGATGTTCACATAGCTGGTAGCTAGCAACAGAACAATATTCCAATTCCATGACTCGCTGAAAATCTCACACTTTTTACATTAAACATTGCTATGCCCAAAATTAGTCTAGAAAGGGCATAAAACTTGACATTTATTAATGAGAACCATATTGTATAAGCAAGTATATTAAGCGTACAAATAGATACCAATGTGCCTTGTGATAACTGAACAAAATCAATGATGATTTTTAGTTTTAAAATTTTATGTAGAGAATTGGTGTCATAAAGGTCGGTTGGTATGCTATTGAAAATTACATGTTTATTAGATATTTTATTTATTTTTTACAAATTAGAAATATTGTTTATAATTATTTCATTTTATAAAAGTTTAAAAGGAAAGAATAAAAGATTATTGTATTTAAAAAAGAACTCCTTAAATGTACTTAATACATTAAATAAAAAAAGCTACTAAGCATTTCAGCACTTACTGTTGAAACTCTCAGTCAAGTAGTTCATACAAAAAATTATCGAGCACAATGAAAAAAAAGCATTCAAAATTTTAGCTTTCAATAGTTTATCAAACACACCGTAAGCCAATGCTTACCACATTTAATATGCATCGTAAAGCACTATCATCACAAGAAAAATAAATAAATGAAGTTAACCACAAAACCAGACCTCGTGAAGTGCAGGAGCATCATTGGTACCATCTCCAGTCACAGCCACAACATCGCCTCCCTTACGCAAGGCTTGAACAAGCAAAAGCTTGTCATTTGGAGAAGATCTCCCCATTACCTGCATAAACTCCCAATTAGCTGTAGATTGGAGTCGTGTAAATAGAAGTATTTTATTTACCGTTGATTACTGTATGATTCTCTTTACCAAAGAATACCTATTTTCTACATTAGCCAGTCTTCCATGCTTTAATCAACAAAATATGTTTGGACACTCGAGAATAATATCAGGATCTAAAGCCAATATAATCAAGAAACATAGTCAATAGATACCGTTATTTTCTGCGCCATTTGTTCTCTTTCTTTTTCAGGTAAGGCTCGGAATACCCTTCCTTCAATGATGGTAGGCTCAGTAACATCTTGGGCAGAACCAAGTATCCCACACTCCAAAGCTATTGCTTTGGCTGTTTGGATATTATCTCCAGTGACCATACGTACCTAAATATTCAAAAGTTTTCGTCATATATAAGAGTAATTAAAAAATACAAGTATTTGTTCTAAGTTGTAGTAATAAAAAATCTATGAAAAAATAAAGGAAATCTTCACCATTCAATATGAACTAAATAAAAGTAGCATCCTACACACAAGACAGTATAATAACTACTAAAGCAAATCTTACGAAGCCAGAAAAATTACCTTAACACCAGAATCCATACATATTTTCACAGCATCTTTAACACCTGGTCGACAAGGATCCTGAAGAGGAGGATTATATTAGTTAATAAAGGTAGTAGTTGCGCATTGCACAGAAATCTAGCTCATGATAAAACAGGAATATTCATATGATAAATTCAAATAATTGAACAAAATGGCAACTCCCCCAAAGACCACTTTTTTTGCTCAATGGCACATAAAAACTAAAAAAACACTTCGAGACTGTATTTGTATACAGGTAAACATGAACACTAGAATTTTGGCAACAAAAATAACATCAAATTTGAACAATGTATCCAAACTAATAATTATAAGGAAAAGGAAGAGCATAGTTCATCTGTATAAAAATCATTTTTAGTGTGTACGAGAAAATCCACCTTTCTTAATAGATGATTATAACGTAATAATAGACATCAAACATAAGACCATTGTGAGTCAGTGAATTATTTACACAGACAAAAGTGGGAACGATAACATTTTTAGTGTATTAGCATTGTGACAGGCACATAATTAATACTTAGAAGATAGAAGATGAAATCATTGAAAGACACAAAGTACACATGATAAGATGATCATTAACGGCACTCCTAAGTTCCAACGTGCGCAAAAAG